TTACACTACAGTGGCAGTGTTGAGTAGTTGCAGCAGAAACCACCTGCCCAGCAAAGTAAAAAATATTTACTATCCAGTCCTTTTGAGAAGGTTTGTCAACCACTGTTCTAGGTCAACTCCTCTGATATAAAGATGGAGAAACAGACATTCCGTTACATTTCTATGTTCATTTGCTTTCGTGTTCTGACAAAGCAGAAGTGTCTACCGGAATTATTAATTACGTAGTATATGCGTCATCACCCACTGAATTTTAAGAGCTATGTATACAACTTTCATGCAAAGCGTCACCACTTTCTACTCTCATCAAGGTGAATTTTCCTCCCCATTCTAGCTGCAAACCAAAACTAAAGCTAAATGCACTTCCATCCTTTATACAGGCCTCATTTCAGGAATGTTTGTTGGGCACATTAATGAGCAGAAATGACTTAGCTTTATAATGCTTCTGAAAATCTTGAGATTTAAGTGAGAAGGAAATACTTTTGTTTCTGCCTCCAACCTATTTTAGTGTAAATCAAAGTTAATAGCTCATGGTCTGGTTGGCAGTTCACAAGAAAGGGCGAGGTTGCCAGAAAATCAAAATCACACAATTTCCTGTTTTTGAAGATGTATTTCAACAAGATCACTGAGAGCTTCAAAGACAAAAATGGCTGTCTGCCAGGGCCAGACCAGCTCCAAGCGCCTTTGTTTGCTTTATTGTTTGATGCTGAGGGGTCAAAGCACTCTCTCTATTGTGTTGTCTCTGCTCCCCACCCCTGTTATTATTATTTTTTTTTTTTGGTTGTTATTCTATTAAGATTCCTGCTGAAAATTAAATTAAGCTTCCTAAGTTCTTCTTTGTTGATCCTAGCAACTAATTATAGAGAAACCAGAAAAAATTCTCAATACTTGGGCTTTTTTTAAGATTGTAATTGGCTACCCACAAAGTTGGTGGAACAATAGTTTTTGGGGAAAAAAAGAGATTCGTACTGATTTTTCAATGAATATTTAAAAATACCTTGACATAAAACTTCCTCCCATTAACTTTGTTTGAACATAAAAAGGTCCCTCTTACTGGTGCTATAATTGACTTTTCCCACCCTACTCTTCCCTGTTCATCCTGACACATCCCCCACACTCCTTTTTAAATTGTGGCATAGGACCCACGTGGCCCCTGTAATCCTCCTTCAAGGCCAAAGCCAACTCCCAGAATACTCAGCATGTCAGTGTCACCTGCTCACAACTTTGGTTCTGGCATGGTTGAAAATTCTTCCAAGTAATGCCCAAGAGGGATAGCTTTTTCTGGGGTGAGCTTGCTAAGCCAACTCAGAGGGTTACAGTAGATTGTGATTACATCTTTCAGTGCAGAATGTCGGGGGTGGGGTGGGGGCGGGTGCATCTATGGAAGGATTAGAAAACTCGCTGACTAGTGGGGCTGCCAAGATCACTTTGTGTGAATTCGACTGCTATAGAAACTATGAAATTGGCTCACTGATCTGAACTTTGGGTCAAGACCCATGCAGCCATTCTAGACATGAATGGTTTTGGCCTTCAGTCACAACAATTGAAAATTAGACCCTTGAAGAAGGCAGGAGTCTCTGAAGCCTCCTTAGAATGTGAGGGCTTTAGACCTGGAGTACCTTAAAGGTTTTCTTTAAAAAACATTTGGATATAGTGACCACATTGTCTGATTTTAAATTCAGAAGGCATCCATAGAGTATTTGAAGTGCTACTGCCTTCGAGCCAAGATGCGTTATTTAGGGTAATGGCATTTCTGTAATCTGTCACTCCTGAATCTCCTGTAAGAGAGAAGCATTTTCTTAGACCCGGTCATTCCTGTCTAGGTTGACTATCAAGAGCTGTACACCTCTGAGAACAGATCTGAGGTGTGATGTCACACAGGTGGCCTGAAGGGGAAGACAGAGCTCTCTAGTTGTTGTAACTTAAGGTAAAAGGTGTGTAACCCCAGTACTACAATGACAGGGTCAGCTCACTCTGAAACCTGGTGATATCACCTGAAAGTCCTTGAGTTGAAATGGATCACCTGCAGTCATTATGGTGATCACACCCTTCATGTCTTGCTAAATATCCCTCAACAGTTTAGTGATATAGGTAGTCATTAACAGGTCCCTAATGAGATTTTATTTTATTGAATTGTATTTCATTTTTGAGACGGAATCTCACTCTGTGGTCCAGGCTCGAGTGTAGCGGTGCCATCTCAGCTTACTGCAACCTCTGCCTCCCGAGTTCAAGCGATTCTCATGCCTCAACCTCCTGAGTAGCTAGGACAACAGGCGCATGCCACCACACCCGGCTAATTTTTTGTATTTTTAGTAGAGATGAGGTTTGCCATATTGGCCAGGCTGTTCTTGAACTCCTGATCTCAAGAGATCTGCCCACCTCAGCCTACCAAAGTGCTGAGATTACAGGCATGAGTCACCCACTGTGCCCGGCCCCTAATAATATTTTAGTTAAGGAGATTTTCTGTATTTACATAAGGCCATGCCAGAAATGTTTTCTTTAAAGGTGCTTTATTCATAGAAGTTTGCTGTCCTCTTTATAGTTTAAAATAATTGATTATTAGTTAGACACTATCAGTGTTTAATATTGAACCATCTCTGAATCACCAGTTTATTCTGTTCGGATTTCAAGTGGGTCGGGATTCACATACACATTCAAACTTTGAATCCATATTGGTTCCTCAACACAAAAGGAACAGAGACACAGAGATAATCTTTGGCCATTAGTATTCACCATGGAAATTACCAAGATAATCTTAAAACATCATAAAAATCAAGAAGTTATAGTTTAGTCCCATAAAATCAGAATCATAATGTATTTCAAATAAATATCACTCTAAATCAGTATAATCCGTTCATCACACTATAAGTAACAATTACCCATTTGAAAGAGCTTCCTGAGTAGCCTGCAGGCTCAAATCAATGTTTTCTACTTAGTACAATCACAGCATTAAAAATTTTTTTTATAATTCTAAAAATTATATGGGCTTAGGATAAATAAATGACAGTTTACCCCTTCTCAGTTTCATTCTTCAGAAGGATGTTAACATTACCTTATGTAAGCTTTCAGAACATTGTTTACTATACTGTACTTATAAAAATATAACTGAAATCGGTTGATTTGCTCCTCAGCAACCCTGTGAGTGGAAGCATTTTAACTAATAAATCTGTTTTCAAAAAATAGGATCATAATATACATCTGCACTTGCCTTCTTTCCTAACCTACTGATGTACTTTGGACATCCCTGTGTATTATTAGACATACATCTTCCTCATTTCATGGTTACACAGTATTCTACTGTATGGAGATATATTTTAACCAGTTCCTTCTTGATGGCTATTTATGTTGATTCTAGCTTTTTTTCCCTTGGCTGGTATAAACATTGTATTTTTATATCATTGTGCAGTTGTAAAAATGCCTAGAAATAAAATAATTGAATCAACTAGATCCAGTTATTTAAAAATCTTGTGATCTGTTTCTCAATTATTGCCCTCTCCAAAATTGTCCCAGTATATATTTTCACTCATAGGGCATGAAAGCCAATCCTAGTGTTTATAAGGGAAGGCACTTGTGTTAACAGAGGTGTTACTCTTATAGTCTAGAATAGAGCCTTTACGTGGATGCACTCTCTCTCTCTCTTTCTCTCTCCCTTTTTCTTTTATAGACTCTGTGAGCAGATTAGCAGACATTTTGTATTTATAGCACTCAGTGGCAAACTGCATGTGATGATTATACCAGATTTCATCCTTATCCTTGATTGTGTGACGTTGTTCACATAGACACTGAACTTTAATTTGTGAAGATGGGCTTGATGATTTCAGGAAAACAGAGAAGACAAGATAAATTCTTAAGATCGCTATTTAGAAAACTGTTGTGAATTTGCTGATTTGGCATGTGGATGTAGAATAATAAACCTTGTTACTGGTATTACAGATACCATGCAAGTCTTTGCCCTATATTATTGTTTTTCAGAACTCAAGCCATTTTACATGTCCATAGGATCATCTTTCTGCAATGACACCGGCTGTCAGAATCATTTATAGAACATAGAGTCCAACTCTGGATAACCCAATCAAAAAAAGGAGTTGATTGAAAGGACATAGGTAGTTCATATAATCATTAGAAAAGTGAAAGGTCAGACACAGAAAACAAACAGGAACCAGGGGCAGGCCTGATGACCAAGGGCAAAACAATTCACACTGTGCTTTGGTTAAGGCCACACTGCTGACACCACCACTCCTGGGCCTCCCCACACCTCTGGGCTCCTGACCCCACTACTGCCACCTAGAAGAGTCTCACATCTGTCTCCCTCAATACACAAAGTCCTAGGTGCAACTTTCTCATTGGATGAGCCTAGGTCATGTGCTCAAGCCCCAGCCACAGAAAACTCTGGGAGAGGGAATTGTCTGAGGTCCTTTAACTTCCCCTTTGGAAAATCTAACAACACCTGCACAATGGCGAATTGTCTCCAAATAGAGAGTTCAATGCCTCATAGCCAAAACAAGTCAAAAACAATAAAGAGGAGAAACGAGAACTGATCACCACTCTGAGGTCTCCACTTCTGTTTCTGGAATGATGTTATAATTTATTTCTGACTTTCTTTATTGGCACCTCCTTAAAAGCAGCAGATCAGCTCTTTGTAACCTGATCTAACCTCTCTGCGTTGGCTCCCAGCATTATTGTTTTTAAAGATTCTCAGCAATAACAAGAATGCTTCGTGATCACCTAGCGCTTGCAGGTTCCTAGATGCTTTTCCACGTAGGACAGCATGTGCTCAATCGCCCACTGTGTAGTGGGGATAATTCCTCCGTGTCTTGTTCGTTTTTTGACATGACTTTTTTTTTCTAACCCTTCTCTCTCCAAACCCTAACCTGGCCATTCCCACTGCTTTCTCAGCAACATTGGAGAGCACCATATTAATCATCGGAATGAAGACTTAACTGTTCTTGGATTTCAGGACCCTCCTTCTCCCATATTGTCCTGTCCATCAAACCACTGCTTACCACCACAAATCATTCAGCCAGCCAGCGGGGTCCCTCCTGCTCAGTCCTGGGTCTTACCACATGCATTACCCATTGGCCTCAATGGAAATAAGATCCTGTATTTTGAATGAAAAAAAAATGCCTTTATTAGTATTATTTTTATTTTTAAAACCAGCTGTATGTTCTTTGGAAAAGTAGGGAAGCTTTCTGGACCTAGATTACTTACCTGAAAGCTGAATGTGGAGCCGGGTGATTTCTGATTTCTTCCTCCACTGTAACCTTCTATATATTTAAAAAGTTCCATGAACAGAAGTGGGATTGATAGAGGAGCAACAGTAAAGGGGGGAACTCCTTCTTTCACTGGCTTTATCTGAAAATGAGAATCATAACTGATATTCTCAAAGTAGCTTGAGGACTCGAGTTCATTGACACCATGTGAGTTAACTGTTGAATGCTCCTTTGAGGTCTTAATACACATGCCCATGGAGATCTTTTTAGCTTTCAAATAAAAACCATAAGCATGAAATGCCTAATTCCTGTCCTGGGCACTTCATGCTTTATTAAAATATAATAGTATTTGTTATTTTCATGTGTGATAATGGCATTGTGGTTGTGTTTTTAGAAAGTGTCTATCATTTAGAGCAGGATTTCTCAATCTCAGCACTACTGACATTTGGAGATAGTTCTTTGTTGGGGCTGAGGGTGTCTGTGCATTATAGAATATTGAGCAGCATCCCTGACTTCTACCCACTAGATGCCAAAGCACCCCTTCCACAGTCGTGACAATCAAACATGTCCCCAGACATTGCCAAATGTCCCCAGAGGAGCAACTTCACCACCAGTTAAGAACCACTGTTTTAGAGATACATACTAACATATTTTCCAACGAAATAATAAGATATCTGGTAGGGAGTGGTTGAGGATATGGGTGTGGATAGGGCAGGATTGGCCAAGGACTGACAGCTGTTGGATTGGGTGATAAGTACTGGGGGCCTCATATTATCTTGACCACTTTTGTGTATATTCAAGTATCTAAAATTAAAAGTGCAAAAAATATTGTTTTAACACATCAGTGGTATTGATTTTAAATCTGTTCTCAAGGTTGAGCCTGTAGAGCATCTTACCCTGGAAAGATTAGGAGCTGAGGATAGGGGAAGTAGAATATTATTCATGCTCTTGACTAACTGTTTTTGACCATTCTGGGGACATACTAAGTTTTGAGTGGTTAAACTGAACTCTTAATCAGCCTTACTAGTGTCAAGCCATTCTGCACATGCCACCATTATTTTTTTCTTCCTGGTCATCTGGATGAGCATTAGCCAAATTGAAGGTTGAGGCTGCATTATCTGAGGAAGCCTTCCATCCTCCCCATGGCCAACAGCCCCTTGTTTAGGCTATTTGCTTGAGTGCAACTATATCCCAGCCTTGCTGCTTTCAGGGCTGATGCTTAAGGGCAGGTTTCCCTTATTACAGTCTCATGGGCACCAATGTACACAGTGAGAAAAGGCCTAGGGGAAGGCTGAGCCTGGCTGGAACTAGAGGAACACCAGCAGGGATCCAATTAACAATACATAATTACCAGTGGGCCTGACCTTTCTTTAGCCTGAGAAACATAACTGGAACTTAGCTTGAGACTGGGCAGAGTAACTCTTAGAACCTTTATTTTGAGGCTGAGTATTGGGTTGGACCATCCAGAATGGAGCAGGAATATGTAAGGATCACTTTGGAGATGATGTTGGGCTGGTGGTAGCAAAGAGGTTGTGCAAATTGGCAGTAGAACATCAAAGTGATTCTTTTCTAAGTTTAAGAGGAGTAATCAAAGCTGTCTAGAAAAATTGGCAAATCATAATTCTCTTCGGCATAGAAAAAATGTAGATACAATTGATTTAGAAAAATCCACAGCTACTTTCAATCTTAAAGATAGTAGATGGTGTGACTAAGAGCTGGAACTCCAGCCACACCACCTGGACTTAGATTCCAACTCCACTCCTTATGCGCATCCCACGCTAACCTTTGTAAGGCAAGTTATGGAAACTTTCCTCACCTCAGTTTCCTATCTGTAAATCCAGAACAATAATCATATGCCTCTCCTAGGGTTATATGAGGATTAAATGAGTTAGTATACTAATGGGTTTAGAATAGGGCCTAGTGCAGAGTAAACAATGGATGTTGGTGATTGTTAGCTAGAACTAGCCTTCTTTATCTTGCAAGACAGTGTAAACATTATGTAGGCAGGACAATTTGAGGGTCGGGGAGAAGAAGCCGCTTCCATAAAATTTAAAATGATCATCAAAGGCCATTTCTTTGGATTAGTAAGTTACTTGCTTTTCATATTTTTGGGAGTTGGCATGTAGCATGGGGACATTTATCAAGTGCTGTTTCTCTGATAGAGCCGTTCTTAAAAGACAGGAATTTGAATGGGGTGAAGGTGGGAGGAGCAGGGGACATCTGGATTATGGGGGCTCTGCCTTTGAAATGGTGGCTGTGTGGGTCCTGGAGGGACTTTAAACCCTCAGAAGACAGTGGCCACTGATGCTGGGAGATGGGTGAGGGATCCCCAAAAAAGATATGCCATTTGAGAATTATTTCTGAGCTAAGAATCTCTTGACATAAAGTAACCGTATTAAACTGAATGTGCCCCGTATCAAAGGGTTCCCATTCTCCGTTCAAATTTGTCTTTTGTACTATTAATGTGTTAAAGACTCCCAAACCCTTTGCCCTTGTTGGGTACTTTGTTTTCAACCCCATCTCCCAGATGACACACAAACCCTCTCTAGTGTCATTTCAAATCTGGAACTGAATCTGATAGCTCTCTTTGTTGTCAGAATTTTCTCATTAAATGAGGTTACAATACTTCATATTTACAGGCTCCTTAATTTCATCTTTGATGTTTTTCTTTTTAGCAAGCATATTATTCTGACTTTCTTACAAATACTGCTCAGAATCAGAGCAAGGGCTTCTTACCCCCTTGCAAGGGTGGCCCAATCACTGTCTGCTTTTGATTTGTGTACTCTGTGCCTTCTGTGAACAGTACTGCCACTTGAAACCCGATTCCCAGAGCAATCCTTGGACCTCTTGTATCAGCATTCCCCAGACTATGAATTAAAATGGCAGTTTTCTGTTTCAACCCTAGACCTTCTGAATCTGAATTTCTAAGAGTGGGGCCCAGGAAACTGAATTTTTGTTAAGTATCCCAAGGGATCTGATGCACACTGAAGTATGGAACTGTGACCTCGTACCCTAAACCCACGTTCTCCATTGCAAATCCTTCAGCATCCTTACCATCTGTCTTACCCACCCAGGAGACTCCCTTCCCAAATATGCATCCTGCATGGTGTCATTGCATTTGCTTTCCTAGGGAGGGATGAAGATAAAATCTTGAGATGTGCTTTGTGGTGAGGGGAGAAAGCAGTTTTTATCTGAGGCTGAAAAGTTACATCTTGAGCCTCAGACAGAAAACTTAGGATGAACCCAAGGAAAGGGTCAAGAGGTCGGCTAGCCTGAGCCGATAGAGCAAGACAGTCTTGTGAGTCTGACTAAGTTAAACCATGATCTTGGGTCAATAAATACTTGCAGAATGAAACAGATGATTTACTGATATTGAAATGGCCAGGCCACTTGGATGATCTCCCCAAGTACAATGTCTAACTTTGAGACTTTATACATTATAGTAAAATAGTGGCCAGGCATAGTGGCTCACACCTGTAATTTCAGCACTTTGGGACGTTGAAGTGGGAGGATTGCTTGAGCCCAGGAGTTCGAGACCAGCCTGAGCAACATAGCAAGATTCAGTCTGTAAATTTATACGTGTGTGTGTGTGTGTGTGTGTGTGTGTGTGTGTATAAAATAACTTGGGCACCCTACAAGCTGACTGGGACTTGGTCTTGACTCTGACCTTGATTGCTCTTATTCTATGAATAATTCCAAAAAGATTGATTATCTGATTACTCAGGCCACTGCAAATGGGAAGCACCTGATTAGAAGCAATTTGCAAGAGCAAGAGAAATATGCAAATACAGGCACAGTGAAAGAGGCAAAAATTGACAGAAATTTCTGGAAAATTTGCTTATGTGGAACTTATCATTCCTTGATGATGAAAAATGGATAGGTGAGAACGTAAAGATAGCTGTAAAAATTGAGCACTTCCAACTTCAAGACTTGACCTTAAGAATCCTCTAGTACTTAAAAAAAAAGTAGGCCATTGTTGATCAAGTATAACATTGACTACTTTGGGATGGAGAAGTAGAGATGATGAAAGGTGAAAAAGGCTTTATACAAGTCATGGAATTGAGTCAGTAATGATCTAGGGGGCTGGAACTAAATCCCAAATAGGTCTCTCCGAATTTATACTTTTGGTTTCATAAAAGGAAATGACAGCCTAGAAACCTCTGTTGAGCTTCTCTTCCATTTGATTGACCTAAATTTCTTTTGGCTGATTACCAAAGCATTGCACTAGCAAAATGTTTGCCACTACTATATGGACATTTAAGCTGGAAATACAATACTCGAGTAATTAGAATCAATGTTTCCTATACAAGTATAAGTGATAGCTCAGATGTTTCTCTGCATATAGGGGAGAAATAAAATCAAGTTCTGGTAGAATTCTGTAAACATCAGCTAATTTCAGACAATTCCAACAATACCATTATAATGTACAGGGTGTTGAAGTCCAAATTCTAAAATAAAATTGAATAATATTATGCCTAATTGTGTGACCCTTAAGGTTATGCTAAGAGAATAAATTTAGTGTTTATTATTATCTGAGGATATTAACTAAATAAGGCAATAACTTGTGTTTGATAGTACAGTGTGCCTATATGATTTTCTGTTAAGAGGGAAAATATATGCATTAGCCTGTTTTCATGCTGCTGATAAAGACATACCCGAGACTGGGAAATTTACAAAAGAAAGAGATTTAATGGACTTACAGTTCCATGTGGCTGGGAGGCCTCACAATCATGGTGGAAGGCAAGGAGGAGCAAGTCACATCTTACATGGATGGCAGTAGGCAAAGAGAAAGAGAACTTTTGCAGGGGAACTCCTCTTTATAAAACCATCAGATCTCGTGAGACTTATTCACTATTATGAGAATAGCATGGGAAAGACCTAATACCATGATTCAATTACCTCCCACCAGTTCCCTCCCACAACACATGGGAATGCAAGATGAGATTTGGGTGGGAACACAGCCAAACCATATCATTCCACCCCGGCCCCTCCCAAATCTCATGTCCTTACATTTCAAAACAGTGAAATATGTCCCAACAGTCCCCCAAAGTCTTAACTCATTTCAGCATTAACTCAAAAGTCCACAGTCCAAAGTCTCATCTGAGACAAGGCAAGTCCCTTCTGCCTATGAGCCTGTAAAATCAAAAGCAAGTTAGTTACTTCCTAGAGACAATGGGGGTACAGGCATTGGGTAAATACAGCCATTCCAAATGGGAGAAATTGGCCAAAGCAAAGGGGCTACAGGCCTCATCCAAGTCTGAAATCCAGCAGGGCAGTCAAATCTTAAAGCTCCAAAACGATCTCCTTTGACTCCATGTCTCACATCCAGTTCATGCTGATGCAAGAGGTAGGTTCCCATGGTCTTGGGCAACTCCACCCCTGTGGCTTTGCAGGGTACAGCCCCTCCCTCCTGGCTACTTTCATAACCTGGCATTGAGTGTCTGTGGCTTTTCTGGGCACACAGTGCAGGTTGTTGGTGGATCTACCATTCTGGGGTCTGGAGGACGGTGGCCCTCTTCTCACAGCTCCACAAGGCAGTGCCCCAGGAGGGACTCTGTGTGGGAGCTCTGACTCCACATTTCCCTTCCAAACTGCCCTAGCAGAGGTTCTCCATGAGGGCCCAGCCCCTGCAGCAAACTTCTGCCTTGTCATCCAGGCATTTTCATACATACTCTAAAATTTAGGTGGAGGTTCCCAAACCCCAATTCTTGACATCTGTGCACTGGCAGGCTCAATACCACATGGAAGCTGCCAAGGCTTGGGGCTTGCACCCTCTGAAGCCATGGCCCAACCTCTACGTTGGCCCCTTTCAGTCATGGCTGGAGCAGTTGGGATGCAGGGCACAAAGTCCCTAGGCTGTGTACAGCATGGGAACCCTGGGCACAGCCCACAAAACCATTTTTTCCTCCTAGGCCTCTGGACTTGTGATGGTAGGGGCTGCCATGAAGACCTCTGACATGCCCTGCAGACATTTTCCCATTGTCTTGGGGATTAATATTTGACTCCTTGTTACTTATGCAAATTTATGCAGTCAGCTTAAATTTCTCCTCAGAAAATGGTATTTTCTTTTCTATCAAATTGTCAGGCTGCAAATTTTCTGAACTTTTATGCTCTGCTTCCTTTAAAAAACTGAATGCCTTTAACAGCACCCAAGTCACATCTTGAATGCTTTGCTGCTTAGAAATTTCTTCCACCAGATACCCTAAATCGTATCTCTTTCAAGTTCGAAGTTCCACAAATCTCTAGGGCAGGGGCAAAATGCTGCCAGTCTCTTTGCTAAAACATAACAAGAGTCACCTTTGCTTCAGTTCCCAACAAGTTCCTCATCTCCATCTGAGACCACCTCAGCCTGGATTTCATTTTCCATAATATTATCACCATTTTGGTCAAAGCCATTCAACAAGTCTCTAGGGAGTTCCAAACTTTCCCACATTTTCTTGTCTTCTTCTGAGCCCTCCAAACTGTCCCAATCTCTTCCTGTAACCCAGTTCCAAAATCCCTTCCACATTTCAGGTATCTTTTCAGCAGCACCCCACTCTACTGGTACCAATTTACTGTATTAGTCTGTTTTCATGATGCTGATAAAGACATACCCAAGACTGGGAAATTTGCAAAAGAAAGAGGTTTAATGGACTTACAGTTCTACATGGCCTCACAATCATGGCGGAAGGTAAGCAGGAGCAAGTCACATCTTACATGGATGGCAGCAGGCAAAGAGAGAGATAACTTTTGCAGGGGAACTCCTCTTTATAAAACCATCAGCTCTTGTGAGACTTATTCACTATCATGAGAACAGCTCAGGAAAGACTTGCCCCCTGATTCAATGACTTCCCACTGGATCCCTCCCACAACATGTGGAAATTCAAGATGAGATTTGGGAGGGGACACAGCTAAACCATATCAATATACAAGGGAGAAAATGTGGGAATAAGGGCTAGGGAAATTGTTAGCAACAACCATCTGGGTGACCTTCAATTTTATTTTTATTTTTATTTCTTTTCCATTTTTTTTTTTTAAATAGATACAGAGTCTCACTGTGTTGCCCAGACTGGTCTCAAACTTCTAGGCTCAAGCAATCCTCCTGCCTCAGCTTACCAAGTAGCTGGGACTACAGGTGTGTACCACCATACTTAGCTAATTTTTTTTCTCTTTTAAATTGTAGAGACAGGGTCTTGCTATGTTGCCTGGGATAGTCTCGAATTCCTGGCCTCAAGCAATCCTTCTGCCTTGGCCTCTCAAAGTGCTGAGTTTACAGGTGTGAGACACCACACCTGGCACAAGCTTAAATTGTATTTATTTACTTATTTATTTAAGACAGAGTCTTGCTCTGTTGCCCAGGCTGGAATGTGGTAGCACAATTTTGACTCACTGCAACATCCGCCTCCTGGGCTCAAGCAATCCTCCCGCCTCAGCCTCCCGAGTAGCTGGGACTACAGGTATGTGCCACCATGCCTGGCTAATTTTTGCATTTTTTGTAGATGCAAGGTTTTGCCATGTTGCCCACGCTGGTCTCCAACTTCTAGGCTCAAATGATCCACTGGCCTAGGCCTCCTAAATGCTGGGATTACAGGTGTGAGCTACCATGCTTAAATTTTAAATCTCAAATGGGAATTTACAACATTTACCTCATGCTGAAAAACATCTTTCTTATGAACTCTGAAGAGGCCTAAAGCCCTTTCTGCTCTTGAGTTCTTCTATTTCTTGAGCCAGGAATCACAGAGGCAAATCTCTAACCTTCTCGGGTCTTAGTTTCTCCATTTATAAAGTGGGAACAGTATTGCTCACCATGGCACAACTACCCCAAGGTTAATGGTGGCCAGAATGACACTCAAATTCCAAACAGGATTTCTGAGAGGACCTCTAACATTTGAATGGAGTACTAGGATGTTAGATCTGGGAGAAATTTGTCTAGTTGTATGGCATTATACTCATCTGGTAGGGGACAGAATGGAATCAGAGAGGTTAAGTGGCTTCAGCATCTCTTTTTATGCATTTTTGTGGTACACAACCTCAGTGTGTCTCCTCAGCTCTGGGAGCTCCTTCAAGGCAGGAGACATATCTTAATCATCTTGATGTCACTCAATCCTAGCGGAGTGCCAGAAACACAGCAGATGTTTGCTATTTGTTAAATAAGTTGCTAAAGGCAGTCAGAAAAGGAGTCTCTCTGGTAACTGGACTCCTAGCCAGCCCTCTTTTCATTAAGTCTCAGCTCTGTAAACATTCTTGACAAATATGTTAGTTCAGAACATTCTGGACTCACTGAGGGATTTTTCTCAGCAGCATCTCACTGGAGATGTTTCAATTCCTTTGCCAAGGGTCCTGGTTGTGTGGTCCCCCAGGTCTTGGCCAAGTCTGCACAGACGTGGTCTATTTATCTGGGTCTCTTTCTCCCTGCTGTGGGTCCCTTGAGGATCGTGAAAGTGAATTAGTCATCTTTACATCACTGCAGACAAGCACAGTGCCTGCTGCACAATCGTGGTTCTCTGAGAGTTTGTTGAAGAAATTAATGTTAATTAACAGTTGTTGAATGCTAACCCCTGTGCCAGCCACCTTTTCAGAGCACTGTACCCAAGGAACTCCTTTGATTCTCGCGACAGCATTCTCATCATTATTTTTAAAAATATTTATTTATTTATTTGAGACATAGTCTCACTCTGTCACCCAGGCTGGAGTGCAGTGGCGCAATCTTGGCTCACTGCAACCTCTGCCTCCTGGGTTGAAGCAATTCTCATTCCTCACCCTCCTGAGTAGCTGGGACTACAGGCATGAACCACCACATCTGACTGATTTTTTGTATTTTTAGTAGAGACAGAGTTTCATCATGTTGGCCAGGCTGGTCTTGAACTCCTGACCTCAAGTGATCTGCCCGCCTCAGCCTCCCAAAGTGTTGGGATTACAAGCGTGAGCCACTGTGCCCGACCCCCTACATTCTTATCATTATTCCAGTTTTATGAAGAGGAAACAGGCACAGAGAAGCTTGGAACCAAATACAAAACCACACAGCTAGTAATTAGAGGAGCTGGGATTTGAACCAAGGGAATTTGGCTTCAGAGCCGACCATACCAGTGATTCTCAACACTTTGTTCTTGGCCCTCCTTTGCACTCTTAGAATTAACTGAGTGTCTCAAAGAGCCTGTCTTTATTTAGCACCTCAAGGCGCTAAATCTCTCAAAACTTATAATAGTAGAAATTAAACTGAGGAAATTGACAAATGTTTGTTGATGAATTAATTTAAATATAACAATAATAAGTCCATTGAATGTTAATGTGACATAGTTTTATTTTAAAAAACTATACTTTTCTTTAAAAATGTAGTGAAAAGAGTGGCAATGTTTTTTGTTGTTGTCGTTTTGTTTTGTTTTGTTTTGAGATGGTTTCACCCTGTTGCCCAGGCTAGAGTCCAGTGGCATGATCATGACTCACTGCAGCCTCCACCTCTTGGGCTCAAGCGTTCCTGCTGCCTTAGCCTCCCAAGTAGCTGGGATCACAGCTGTGTATTACCATGCCCTGCTAATTTTAAAATTTTTTGTAGAGACAGGGTCTTGCTATGTTGCCCAGGCTGGTCTCAAACCTCTGGGCTCAAGCAATTCTCCTGCCTCAGCCTCCCAAAGTGCTGGGATTAGAAGCGTGAGCCACTGCCTCAGGCCTGAGTGGCAATGTTTTACATTGTTGCACATTTCTTTAATGTCTGACTGAATGGAAGACAGCTGGATTCCCTTATCTGCTGTGTATTCAGTCTCTTGACA